CAAAAAAAAAGTTCAAAACACTTCCCTTCATGCAAAAGAGGATGCTTATTTTGGAATTCCATATGAGTGCTCCTGGCAGGATTTTTTTCCAGCAGGAAAGATAGTCAATGTCAACTGGTACAAAGAAATCTTAAAACATCTGAGAACAGCAATACAGTACAAAGAAAGCAACCTAACATGCCTTTGGACAAGATTATTCTGCTTCATGACAACACCTGCGTGCAAACAGCTGCCATCATCACTGATATGCTGGCTTCTTGGTCTTGGCCATACTTTGTCATTCACCATATTCCCGATTTGTCTCCTATTGACTATCATATTTTTGGCTCTCTGAAGTAGTCTCAGGAAGTGCCATTTTGATGAATGTGGCATGAAAAAAGTAGTGCAACTTTTGAAGCAGCCATCTGATTTCTTCCACACTGGTTTACAAAACTGGTGCCATATTGGAACAAGTGCCTGGACAACTTGGAAGTCTATATTGAGAAATAGTTCATATGTACTGTACAAGGGTTATTTTTTTCCAACCTCCACTAACGCATGAAAAAAAATTGGAATCATTGAGAGAGGGACAGAGTGCACACCTGGTAAGTACTATATTCCCTCATCGCTTAGCATTGTGCAAAGCTATTTTAGACATTTGCTACTCTGAAGTAAATACGTAAACACGATGCCGCCAATCCAGTCTCCCACCAACTGTGAAGTATGGCTAATTCAATTTCTACAGGCCAAAGGGCTTAATGGAGGCTGAAATTCATCAAAGGATACCTCATGAGCTATGGATATATGTGTGAATGGTGCAGGAAATTCAAACAAGGACATGACAACGTTTATGATGAAGGCAGTCAAGGGAGCAAGTGTGTGTGATGACCGACAATTTGGTGGACAAAGCAGATCAATTGGTGCGAGAAAGGCATCAGTTCACAATTTCTCAGCTCAGTGAGGAGTTTCCTCAAATTTCAAGGTCCACACTGTATACTGCTGACGGACAGTGTTAAAGGTTGGCTGAATGGCCTGGCAGCAACATTCTTTGACATGAGTATACAAAAGCTGTGTCACAGTCTGCCTGAATCAACAAGGCAATTATGTGGAAAAATGGGTGATGACTGTATCTACTTCTACAAATAAAGTGGTTTTGTTCTTCATACTTGTTTTTTATTCTGGGTCGGTAGAGGTTGAAAAAAAAAATAACCCTTGTATATCATGGTTTTTGCTTACATTAAAACACTAGTTTGAAAAAAATCAGCACAAAGACTTTCTTAACAACTCTTGTATATACAGTGTCCATAAAGGTACTTTCCAATTTCAAAAAAATTGGATGAGTTCTATGTAATGTACATATAAATTTTTGTCTTGTTATTCTATAACTCAGAAAAAATGCTTTAAAAATCTTAAAAGTGTCATTTAAAAATACAGGTAGATGAAGCCAATAATTATAGCAAAGATAGCAACCAAACAGAAAAAAGCTCAGTATCACATGGCTAATTGAAACAAAATCAAGAACATGAAATTTCATAAATTACATGGCAAATTCCTCTTTGGATTTGCCACTCTATAAATGGTACTAAAATTTTTTTTTTGATGGAGTTCCACAATGATAGGAATATCATTGTGGTTGTTTTACAACTTAAGAAACTATGGAACAAATTTGCAAAGAATTTCAACATCCTCCAAAGTTATCATCATTAATTAGGAATTCTCTCAGCAAATTATAGCTATAAAAGCCAAAAATTCATAAAGACATGGACAAATGCATTTAAGCATTTGTACATAAGCATTGGCATTGATCTATATATATATATATATATAAGTTTCCCCAACATATTGTTGGGGACTTTATATATGTTGGGAGACAGGACAATGAATGACAACAAAAGAAAAATTTCTCATTTCTCAAAATTTCTGCAACTAACAATGCAGGGTATCATATGTCTCTATGTATCTATTATATAATGAGATATTTTGGGCACATTAAGGCATTATTTTGCTTTCTAGTTTATGTATGACTAATTCACATAGGTCCCTTTAGGTCACTAACAATTCATACATCAAATTTTATAAACAGGTATTAAATGTTTTTTAAGGGAATTGAATAGCATGAAGATTGTTCATATCATTTTTACGAGTTTTTCTAAATAAAGTTATCCCTGCTATTTAACTTTAACTAATATTAAACTGAAAAATACCTTTGTGGACACACACATACTATGTTCTAGTAATTTCAATGACTCATTGTTTACATTTACAGTTCTAATTACTATAATTATATGAAAATAAGTACTCTTATATTAATTCTCTTAATTCCTGATGACTATTTTAGTTCTGAAAAATTATTAGATTCTGATAATATTATGATGAAAAATATCGATCCAATATTAAATTAAAATACAGATTTCCATTCTTGGTAGTTTTGAAAGACATAGCTTTGAAAATTCAGTTCTAATTGTCTAAACAACACTTTTAAAATTTGCACAAATAATTTGAAATAATCCTCTTCTTTTAGTTTGCTTAAATAATCACTTCTTAAAAGCAGAATAATTGAGGACTTTCATTTCCTGAATTTTTCACTCATATCCAAAATCCAGACTTTAAATAAATCTCTTTTTTTAAATTTATATATCCAGTATCAATTATTACATTTTCAGATGATATTAACGATTCAGATATTTTCCCTGTGGAAGCTATCTGTATTCAACAATACAACACTTTCATTGTGAATATGTGTATATGAATTTATATTCAAATATACAAATTCATATACACATATTTCCAATAGAAGTGCTGTATTGTTGAATACAGGATAGCTTCAACGGAGAAAATATCTGAATCACGTAAAGCAGCCAGATTATATGCATTCAGACATGTTTTACAGAGCATCAACCTCATGTGGTTTAGCTCATGAATGCTACACACAAAAATATTGTATAATGCTTTCAATGATTCTATCCAGGGCCGGCACAGCTTCCCTATCATCAAATGTCACTACACACCACTTCAATATACAGCACATAAGTATATATTGCCACTAAGATAAGTATATTATTCTGTTTATATATTATTTAAATTTGTAATACAATGTAACTTTTATGTTAACATTTGATTCCCCAAACTAAAAATTTGGGTCCCCAAACTAAAAATTTTAAATAATTCAATAAGACATGGAGTAACTCCATATTGATTAAAAGTAATTTCACAAATATCTTCCATTTTTTTAAATAAAATTTTATAAGTTTACATATAAAATTTAAAAGTATTTTTATTAACAGCATAACTGTCTTGTTCAACAAATACAACAATAATTACATCTATAAAATTACAACTTACTTAAGCCTGTAACTGATGCGAAATCATAAAATATTAACGCACAAACGTTTTCGGAACACCTTCCGTGTTCTTCCTCGGGTTTTCCCGGTATGCTTATTAGGAGTTATTTGTTAATTATATCTATGATTTTGTGATATTTTTTCTATGATAATTCAAGTGATATGACATTTTTTATGATAAAAGTAAATAAATATATTTAACTTCAATTTTACTATTCTGTTTGTTTTAAATAAGTAAACAATTTAATTACAGTTATTAGGAAACTTAGAAATAAGTCAAAAGTAATGTCTTGTCTATTTAAACTATTGTTACTAATTATTATTTATTCACAAATTACAATTTTAAATAATTCAATAAGACATGGAGTAACTCCATATTGATTAAAAGTAATTTCACAAATATCTTCCATTTTTTTAAATAAAATTTTATAAGTTTACATATAAAATTTAAAAGTATTTTTATTAACAGCATAACTGTCTTGTTCAACAAATACAACAATAATTACATCTATAAAATTACAACTTACTTAAGCCTGTAACTGATGCGAAATCATAAAATATTAACGCACAAACGTTTTCGGAACACCTTCCGTGTTCTTCCTCGGGTTTTCCCGGTATGCTTGTAGGAGTTATTTGTTAATTATATCTATGATTTTGTGATATTTTTTCTATGATTTAATTAA